CACGAGCCCGTGTCCCCTGCATCGGCAGGCGGACTCTCAACCACTGCACCACCAGGGAAGCCTGGGGGAGAACTTCTTGAACAGACACCCCGGACTCCTGCACCGCCGGCCACCCGTGAGTGCCGGAGTGAGCCTCACGCAGCCCCAGGGGCAAGACTCCTGAAGGGCCTGGGGCTCCAGACCACCTGCCTGAGGAAAAGGACGGCTACGTGGGCGCCGCCATTTTGGCAGAAGCAGCCTTGAAATATGTGAAAACTCTCCTGTAGGAGAGCAGGTAGGGTTCAATAGAGTGGCAGGATGGGGGAAGATAGGTGATGTACGTGTTGGCTTCCTATTAGGAGGAACTCTGTTAGTTAGAACTTTGAATCAAAGAGATGAGCTGTCTTATAGTGGGTAGGCTTCCTGTCCCTGGACAAAGCAGAATTTTCCAGGAACACTGCAAAGGAAAATACCTCCTGGAATGCTGTACAGGAAATTTCCTGGTAGGGATAGATTACGTCACTAGACTCAAAGTGCTCTAAAACCTTTTTTGTCTTTAAGATCTTCGTTATTACAAAATTACCGTCAACATTCCAAATGCTAGAAAATAGACATAAATGTTCTCAGTCACATTTACTTGGGATGTTTTATAAACATCTTTTGAAATGAATCATTAAAGAAGCAAACATTCCCAATATGTCTAAATTGTTGGAGCTGATTCTGTCTTCAGAAAATGCAGTTTGATAACTGCTTGGAGAGGTCAAAGCCCCCCGCTGTAGGACAGTGGCTTCTTCGTTGAGGCCAGTCCTTTATTTGATATTTTCTTGAAGAAATGAAAGGCATTTGGGGAATGCAGACAAGGAGGATGGCGCGCTTCCAGGAAAGAACACAATTTCTTCCTTGAACGGGCTTGCTGCCCAGAAAACAGGTTGATTCCCATTTTATCTGCAGTGCATCACTCATTTATGTGCAGTGCTGTAGGGCTGCCAGCCTCTGCCTGGATACGGTCTTGTCCCCTGAGAAGGGCTGCATTCATTTGTAACCATCCGATGCTCTTTAGCTGACAAGTCAGCATTTTCATCCTCCTTTACCAAGACCCCAAGAAAAGAAAGTACTGTAAGATCTTCTTTAGCCTTTCAAGGTCGCTTCAGAAGAGAGCTAAAATAAGAAAATATCACTATATTTTCTTTTGAACAGGATTTAAAGGATCAAATAAGCAGGAAATAAAAGAGTGCAGGCTTTAAAGATTGAGTTATATTTTCAGGAAGTGTAAATCAAGGGAGATAATTGCACCTTTTTTCTTCATCTCTCTTGTTGAAATCCAGGTAGAATTGGTGACTAAAAAAAGGTTACCGAGCTGCAATGGCTTTGCAGTGTCATTTTCTGACCAATCTCTTCCAGTACCCTGTAGAATAGATAATGCAGTAAAGGGTTATCTAATGGTTGAAAGTTAAGCTTCTATTAATAACTTTGGCTCAGGCCTAAGGTAAGGGGAGAGGGCCCACATAGTTGCAGGTGTCCGATGAATAGTGGTAGAATATCTCAAGAGCAACAGCAATATGGTTCTCACTGGGAGGTTCCCTAGAGCCCTGTCCTAAGTCCTCATCTACCTTCTACCTAGATGGTATCATCCAATGCCTTGTTTTAAATTCCTATCTGAATATTTCCAATCCTCTATCTCATGCCCATACTAATTTTAAATTTTAGAAACGTACGTCAACTGAGTAATGAACGTTTACATGTGAATGGATCAAATGAACTGAAAACTAACCTCTCTTTTGGGGAATAGGGCAGAGGATTGAAAATCTTACTCCTCACTTCATCTCCACTGGGGTTCCCTATACACAATGTATAAGATATATACACAAGGTGGAAAACCAAATAGGAATCAAAATACTGTTCTACTGTGGATCAGCTATTACCTAACACAGCCTTGCCACAGGACTTAACCCAGCCCTCTCTGTTAAAACTGATTTGGAGTGTATGACTCGGGCTTGGATTCCCCAGTGGGATTTCCTGTTCTCTCTCTGTCCTGAAACTAAAATGGCTAAGTCTTCTTAGACCCTAGACTAATTACATGGCCTGCCCCTAACAGTTAGACCCAGTCCATATTTGTTTTCCACATGGAGGATCAGAAGGACAAAAGTGGAGGACAGGAAGACTGCATAGGGTTCTGAACTTCATTTTGCACATGTTTTTTCTCTCCATTCAATACCTTTCCTCCACTGCCTGATGAATTTCTAATCATTCATCTTGATTAAGCTTAAATTTCACCTTCTCTGAAAATGTCTTGATATAGCAAACTTTACTTACCCATTGTGCTCCCATAGTATACTGGTGCTGACACTGTGGCTCTTAGAAATGTTCTTTGTCCTTGCTGGTTCTGCTCTGCGTGGTGGGGGACTGGCTTTTCCAGGCTGCATTCTCCATGCTCCTATATAGCAGCTGAAGCTTGTGGCTGGCATCACTGGCAGGAGATGGGGGATGGGCTCTTCCCTTCCCTCCCTTCATTGAGTGACTTTTCTAGTAGTGAGTATGTACCTTCTGAAATTCCTCCCTCTGGACATGCTTGCTTCTGTTCCAGCTCCAAGTGGGGAACCCTAGCTCTGGTAACAACATGGTATTAGTTTCCTGGGGCTGCTGTAACAAATTACTACAAATTTGGTGATTCCCAACAATAGAAATTTATTCTCTTCCAGTTCTGGTGGCCAAAAGTCTGAAATTAAGGTTTCAGTAGGGATAAGCTCCTTCCAACAGTTCTTGAAGAGAATTCTTCCTTGTCTCTTCCAGCTTCTGGTGGTTCCAGGTGCTCCTTGGCTTATGGCAGCATTACTCCAATCTATGCCTCTGTCTTTACATGGTCTTCTTCTCTTCTCTTTCTGCATCTTCTACTCTTGTCTCTTGGAAGAAAATTTTTTTGGATTTAGGGTCCACCTGATTAGTTCAAGATAATCTCATCTCAGGATCTTTAATTACATCTGCAAAGACCTTTTTTCCAAATAAGATAATATTCACTGGCTCCAGGTATTAGGATGTGGACATATTTTGGGGGAGGTCTACCATTCAACCCACTACAATCACTTCCTCTCCTTGTTTCTCCCATCTATGATTGGTAGAGGCTGTCTGCTTTGGAAAATCTCTAGGTTGTCTTATTGTTCACTCTTTAGCTGCTCAGATCCTGCCTCTTCTGAGTAGCCAGCTACTTACATTTTCTCTGTTATAAATATCTGAAATGGTTATAGTGAGATCCTGATGGATATGTATAGTGATTTTTATATGTGTCTATTATACACTCATAATACAACATATTGTCATGCTTTGTTTACATGTCTATGTCCCTTGGTATGCTGTATAACCTTTGTTAATTTTCTTTCTGTCCCCAGGACTCAACGCAATCCCTAGTTTGGAAAGTTTTCAACAAATAATGGATTATGAACAATGATCTGAAGATGAAATGAGAAAAATATGCTTAATAGATCTAAAATCTGCAATGAATATATTATAAAGCGTCCATTGAAACTATTCAAAGAAAATGTGTCCTTCGACAAAACAGCATCACTTGGAGAGAAAAGTATCTTCATGTGGACAGAGAAATTATTGGCTCTTCTGAGTCCAGTATGGATAAACACCAGAAAACAGTGAGTCTGGCAGAATTTTATAAATATTTCTTAACACCTTCTTATCTCTCAGAGTTTCACTCGATAAAGTGCTCATTCATGTCAGATGCTTTCCAAACTTCCTCTTTTTACCCATAGTCAACATTTTCAATAAACAATCTGCTTCTGATTACCACTAATAATTTTAATTGGGGAGTGGGTGTTCTTTATGGATATTATTGTTCAATGTATAATCTTTTCTATAGACTGTTATCTGGACAGTCTTTTAGAATAAGGGTTCTGGTGATTTTACTCCCTTTTTAAAAGTCTTCAGTGGTTTTGCATTTTTCACCAAAAAGGTCCAAAGTGGCATTCAAAGCTCTCTTTCGTCCTTGAGCACTCAAATATTCTCTCCTACTGTGCTTGTGTGGATTACTGACAGTCGACCAACATCCCTATGGTCTTTGGTTCCTATGCCTTTGCACTTTAATCCTCCACATCTGAGGACATTTGACAACAGTTGTGCTTGTTTCAACTTTCTGTGTTTTTAAAGCCGTTATACCGACCTGGTTAAACCTTGGGAACTAGATAGATTTGGGTTTGAACTCAGATTCTATTTATTGACCACGCGTGAACTTGAGAAATTCAGTAATGTCTTGGAACTTTGGTTTTCTCATTTGTAAAATGGAGATTTTCATACCTACCTCAGAGTGTTATTTCTAGGATTAAATGAGAAAAGAGATGTGATATGCTTGTCACACAAATACTTAAAAGATGGTATTATTCTAATCTTCTGTCAAAGATAATTTTCTGATTGAAAGCTTTCCTGATTTTTCAAACATGTTTCTTACTTTAAAACTTGAAAGTGCATTTTATTTTAGTCCTCTTTTAGTATTTATATTACTCAAAGTTAAATTTATCTTTTAACTCTAACCCACTCACTATATTGAATAGAGTATTTATGATTTACATTTCTCTCTATCCTTTAGAACAATCCTGTGTCTGGCACATAGTAGGCATTCAAAAAATTGTTGAATTGAATTCATTATCAATCCATTGAGCTGATAAATTGCAGTACGTTCCTGCTCTATGCTCCTTGTTCTGAAGGGCTCTGCTCTACACATTAATCTTAGAGTCACAGGGGATGTAGGCCCTGAAGCTGTGGTGTCTCAGTCTCATTATATTCATGAGATAGCTCAGAAGATTGGAAATAGAATGGTATTTAACCATTGATTAGCCATCAGAAGTTTTCTGAGGTGCTGAAGTATATGTTCTATAATTTCAGAAGCACTAATTCATTTTATAAAAGCTGCTTAAGGGTAGGTTTTCCACAAGCATTAATCGGTTGGGTCACTATTCAGTGTTGAAGCAAACAATAGCCTAAACCACTTGTTTCTTTAATAAGTCCAAGTGGTTTGGAGTCAGGGAATTTAATAAGAATGCGTTATCTATTAATTTATTCACACATAAGAATACTTGTCATTTACTCCTTTTATTCACTCATCCATATTTTAAGAACTGAAAACATGGTATTTGAAAGAGAAATTATTTCTCTAGTAGAGCCTATACTATTTCTTGGAGGTATTTTGTTAATATTTAGGATTTTTATTGCTTCGAGTATATACATTTATTACAATGTCACATTTTGTTTAATCTTAATATTCTTTTCCTGAAAATTTTGAGTCATTAATATAATACATAGGTTATTCAATTAGTATTAATATTCCTTTTGTACTCAGGCATATTCATTTCTGTC